CGCTGGAGGTGAAACCCACTCCAATCCACACGGAGACTCCAAAGCAGATGACCAGGCAGGCCAGGCTGATGGCATGGGCCAGGTAGGAGCACCAGAAGGGAAGCAGGCGCTTCCGGAGAGCATGATCTGTGACTGCAGAAGACACACACACACACAAGACAGAAGTGGTGAGCAGGGGCTGGTTTGCTTTATTCAGTCTGCTTCTGTGGGGCAGGGAGAGCAGCTGCATGCTACACATGCAAGGCAGGGCCTGCACAATTCTTAAAAGTTTAGAACCCTTTTATATAAATAGAGGGGGAAAGATGGCATTTGGAAGAGTGTACCCAATTACTTGTTATTTTTCTCAAGATCTGCACAACCTGTCCTGGTGATGCAACAGAAGCTGGTAAGAAGCACCACAGGGGCTGGGCAGATGCCCTCATGAAAGGTTGCGCATCCATAGAGTTACAGGAGTCAGTAATCTGCCTTCATTCCATAGAATGGTGCATGAGGGGAGGATGTAAGAACATAAGAAGAGCCTGCTGGAGCAAGCCAAGAGCCTAGCTTCCTGTTTTCACAGTGGCCTACCGTAAGCCCATTATGGGACACCCACAAGAAGGATCCAAGCACAAGAGCACTCTCTCCTGCTGTAGTTTCCAGGAACCAGTATTCAGAAGCATTCCTGCCTCTGACCGTAGGGGCAGAACATACCCATCATGGCTAGTAGCCACGGATAGTCCAATCATCCTCCATGAATTTGTCTCCTCCTCTTTCAGAGCCATCCAAGTGGGTGGCCATCACTGCCTCTTGCGGGTGCGAGTTCCATAGTTTAACTATGCACTGTTCTGACTCTTCCAACGCAATAGAGGAGGTCTTCAGCTGAGGCAGAGTGGGCGTGTGATAAGCTGAAGGTGACGGAATTCATATCAGTGGTTCCCATAGTGGGTGGTACCACCCCCTGGGGGGTGATGGGATTACCTGGGGGCAGCACAGGGGCATTGAAGGTGTAAATGGCTACCATACTTTGAAAAGCTGACATCACTGGATCAAGTTCATTAACTCTGTGGAATTAATTAAACTAAATAGTTTTAACCGGATTTTGAATAACTGTGCAATTAATTGTTACTGTTTTGAATTTTATTGTGTTATTATCTTCCTTAGAGGGCTGTGAAAATTGCTATAATGAATAATGCTTTTCATAGGGTAGGGGACGCAGGGATGAATTTATGGAACTAAGGGGGCAGTGGCTGGAAAAAGCTTGGAAACCACTGGTTTAGAAGATATCCTATCACAAGGGGATGGGAGGTGGCTCAGTCTCTGGGAGGAAGATGCTGGCCTAGGCATGACTGGAAAGTGAAGGTGACATGATGGGTCTAGAGGTCTGTGCATTCCCCACCCACTTCCACAATCCCACTTCCAAGCTGGTCACCAATTGCCATATCCCACCCTACCTGTTCGCGTTGATTTGGCTGAGCGGTTCAGTTCTCTGCCAGGGGCTGCTGCTGCTGCTACATTCTGCCCTTTCTCGGTCAGCCGCTGCATCATGATAGTCTCTGTCTTCTCCCCAAGCATGCTGGATCTGCCAGAAAAAACCACAAGGGCGTTAAGCACTGCATCTCCTTTGGGATGGGGGTCAGTAAGCAACTGGCCTCATGCACAAGCACCAGCACCAGCACCACTACCTCCTCTGTCATGGGAGACTTACAGCCCTGAGATGAGGTCAGTTTCAACCCTGGGGTATGGTCCCATTTCCTGAGGGTGGGAAAGGCTGCCAGCTCCATCGGTGAGAATCTGCCGGATCAGATCTTCATCTGCGACCAAGAAACACGTGTCACATCAAGATATGTTAGCAACATGAAGTGTGCTTGTAGCAGCTACTGTGTGGGGCATATGTGTTACTTTGCAAATACATGCAGAACAGATTTGCTAAAGGCTGGTTCTCCCATGCAGCAATCTCTGAGAGTCCTCCTTGGCCCTATGCTGCGTGCGGTGGACATGAATGCCCTAGAAAGGGGGGAAGTGAACCCTCTGCCTCTCACACATTCTTACTCTGTCTTTCTTCAACTGCACAAGTATATCCTTCCTTTGTTCCTTCCACTCCTCCGTATAAACAGCACTCAGGTTAACAGGGCTGGACCTACTATTGGGCGGAGTGTCACCTCCCTAAGACAACAGGTACCAGAGGGTGGCAGCACCTCCCAACCCCCAATTCTGCTTAAATCCCCTAATCTATCCTGCTCTGCACTTCCTCAGGTAGCAGGCTACCCTCGGGAAGCATGTAGATCAATATCCCGATGCCAGGGTTGAAATCAGATGCAATGGCCCCTCTAGATTCTCTGCTAGTCCTTCATCTCAGGCAGCAAATCTCTTGTTCCTGACTATTCAGGGCACCTGGCAAACCTCAGAAGGGAAGCTGCAGCCCTCTCAATGTTAAGACTCCAGCTCCCAGCAGCCCACACAGTCAGGGAAGATGAGAGTTGTAGTCCAGCAACACCTGGAGGGCCACAGGTTCCCCACCTCTGTGTTAAAGTAAAGGTAAAGGTACCCCTGCCCGTACGGGCCAGTCTTGACAGACTCTAGGGTTGTGCGCTCATCTCACTCTAGAGGCCGGGAGCCAGCGCTGTCCGCACACACTTCCGGGTCACGTGGCCAGCGTGACAAAGCTGCTCTGGCAAGCCAGCGCAGCACACACGAAAATGCCATTTACCTTCCCGCTAGTAAGCGGTCCCTATTTATCTACTTGCACCCGGGGGTGCTTTCGAACTGCTAGGTTGGCAGGCGCTGGGACCGAGCAGCGGGAGCGCACCCCGCCGCGGGGATTCGAACCGCAGACCATGCGATTGGCAGGTCCTAGGCGCTGAGGTTTTACCCACAGAGCCACCCACGACCTCTGTGTTAAAGAGAAGTAAATGTTTGTGGCAAAGAATCCTTTATGAAGCCATTCAGATTTGGACTGTTTTCCTGTCCACCCGCCTCATACCTGAAGCTGAGAAGTATCTGGCCTGAGCTTGCGGGAAGCCAAGCGACAAACTGTCCTCCTCAGCTGCCAAGGGAGCCTCCAGGCCAAGATGGCGACTGGTCCTGCCCCTCTTCAGCTTCTGGATTGTGTTGCCCATGATGGAAGGGTTGCTGAGCAGGTCGGGCCAGTTGAGCAGGGCCTCGTTGGAGTGCCACCGTATTAGGCTGAGGCAGAAACAAGAGCAGAGAGGAAGGATGAGCACGGGAACAAGGAACACCCTTAGGCAGAGCTCTTTAATAAATACAATCCTCCTCTTCAAGCTGACCTCACAGCCCAAATACATACATCTCAGAGAGACAGTGTGGTGTAGTGGTCAGAGTGCTGGACCTAGGACCTGCGAGACCCGGTTTCAAATCCCTGTTATGCCATGAAACTCACTGGTTGACCTTGGGCCTGCCACAGTCTCTCAGCCTAACCTCCCCTCACAGAGTTGTTGTGAGGATAAAATGGGAAGAGAACCACGTGCAGCACCTTGAAGGAAAGGCGGGATATAAATGCAACAAATAAATAAATCCCATTTACCTTTTCGAATCGTCCAGGAACAAATCTGTTTTGGTCTGCTCTGAAAAGGCCTGTAGGGAAGGAAAGAGGGTTCACTGCTCAGCCAGCCTTGGTTCTTTGGGATCAATGCAGCCCCTTAGGGAGGACCACTGTGAAGACTATTCATTGGACACTAGGCCACAGGCAACTGACACGAGCCCCTCACTCAGATCTTGCTGGACTCCAACCCCATCCATCAGCTCTAGTCAGCAAGGTCAATGGGTCAGGGATGATGGAAGTTCAGGACCTCAAGGACCTTATCTCTCAGCCTAACCCACCTCACAAAGTTGTTGCGAAGATAAAATGGAGAGGGGGCAGAACCAAGTACACCACTTTAATGCTCCTTGGAGCAAATATGGAATATTAATGTAGTAATATTAATAATAAGGATGGGAATTGAGAGACCAGCAACATCACGAGGGCCAGGGGCTCTCCACTGCTGAATGAGGTAAAAGGACACAGATCTGAGGGAAAGAAAGGCAGGGCTGGAAGTGGGGCAGGGCCTAGGACCCCTTTAGAAACTACCCCACACTTCTGTCCTGCCACTTGCCACTCTCACCTCTGTCCGAAGCCCAGGGAAGGTGAGGAAGGCGCTCTCCATAAGAGACGAGTCCAGGTAGTTGTCGATCTCTAAGGACTGCTGGTCTGAATGGGCCAGGGACTGGCTGACAGACACCTAGGAGAGAAGAGGGCGCTTGAGGCAAGGAAGGACATTTTCCTTTCAGCTGGAAGGGCAAATTTGTCAGATTTGCCCGGGTAACCCCAACTTTTGAGGAGTCACTTTGATATTATTTTGAATGGAAAAAGCCAGCCACCTGCCAACAGCTCTCACTTTCTCTCCCTTTCCCTATTTAAAAAATAGCTGTCAGAGATGGGGGATGAGGGTGCCACTTCTCTAAGTCAGAAATTCACAAGAACCATTGATTCGCTAAACATCTTTGTTATTCAGAGGTGCCTGTTCCGTCACATTTAAGCTTCCAGAAATCGATCTCTGCGTGAAACACCAGAGGACTGTTGCCAGTCTGAGCAGAAGAACGCAGCCAGCTGGGTCAATGGCTACCAAACTTGGTGGTATAAGATGGCTTCATATGTGCCACCCATGAGCTGTTTTCCTCTTCTGGGCACCACCCAATCTTGAAGAGGAACCTCAAAAATTCTGATAAAGAACTGTGCATTCAGTAAATGATGTAAAACACAGATGTACACAAGCAAAATATTATAATGCATGGATAAATAAACATGACTATCTTCTCTAAAAATAGGAATTGCCATGTTTGCTTTGCAACCCATTAAGGAAATAACCAGTAAAATGTATTAAATGAAACATTCTGGCTAAAACTGGTAACCATAGAACATAGGAAGCTGCCTTATACCAAGTCAGGTGACCCTTGGCTCAACTAGTTCCATGCTGCCTGCACTAACCAGCAGCTGTTCTGCAGTGGTTCAGGCAGGGAGTTTTTCCTGGCCCTCACCTGGAGATTGATCCTGGGACCTTCTGCATGCAGAGCAGATGCTCTAACATTGAGCTATAGCCATTTCCCAACATCTAAAATCATATTTATTGTGACGGCCTGCGGCCAATTGAAGGCCTTGCCCAGAAACAGGCTACTGCCCCCTTCCCCAATGCACTGTTACCTTGCTCCGTGCCATACGGAAGAGGAAGAGGAGGGCCAGGTACAGGGGGTAGACAACCAAACTGGACACCAGACCAACCACAGCTGTCTCACCGTTGACCGGGATCAAGGTGGAGATGGCCACGTTGCTAGGAAAAGACAGGAGAGAGTAAGCAGGGAGGGCGCTAGCACAATTTCTAGTGCAAGACAATGCTGAGATGGACCCCCCCCCCCATATTTATGAGTGTAAGGTGTTTTAAATTGTTTTTAATATTGTTTCTAATGCTGTAACCAGCCCTGGTACCTTAGGGTGATGGGCAGGAAATAAATAAATAACAAAGGCAGCTACCTTTTGTGGCATGTTCTTAAGGCCACAGGACATGAGGGAAACACTGGCCATGCTATCCCACAGCCTCCCCACTGATCTTCATCTTTGGAAGGAAGTGGCCCTCCTGGGCTAGAGAGGATCAGAAATTCCCAACGCACCTGAAGTTGACATCTCCCACAATGCCGTACCACACGGCATTGGCACACAGGAAGAGGAAGACAAGGAGGCAGCAGCAGGATGCCCTCTGGACGCGGGTGAAGCGGCTGCGAGGGGGACGGTCCCACAGGGACAGCCAGACATGCTTCTCAAAGAAACCCCTCTGCAGCTCCTCAATGAAAATCCGCAAGAAGCTCCTCAGGTCAGCCTCGCCTGCGGAGCCAGAAGCGGGGGAAGGGTCAGTCAAAATGCCCATCTTAACATTATTGTCCCTGCAGAGAAGGAATCTCGCCTCAACCCGCACCCCCAAGTGACTGTCCTCATTTCAGTCTTCAAAACTGGGGTTCAAGCAGAGCCCCATTTCAGCTTGCCACATTTATTTATTTTTTAAAAAATTAAACAAAGTAATAATACAAATAAAAATGTGCACACAGACCCGGACCATTATTTACCATAATTATCCAACTTTCCAAAAATGTAACACTTCTTGAGATGGTTTGACCCCTTTTTGTTTTAACAATACAAATTCCACAAATATTTTCCACATTTCCTCAAAGTCATTTATCTTCCATATTCCCCTTCTTACTTTGATAGCACACGTAAATTTATCATTAATCACTATCTCCCTCACTTCTTTATACCATTCTTCTATTTGAAATCCACCTTGCTTTTTCCATTTCCTAGCTACGAGCACTCTCGCCACTGTCAGCAAGTTTGTGATTATTGCCACATTTATTTAACAAAAGGTATAAATTGCTAAATCATCAACAACAAAAACCCTAATGGGAGCTATAATTGAAAATGGTCATGCCAGCTGGGGCAGATGGGAGTTGCAGTCCAAAAAATCTGGAGGGCAACAGCTTTGGGAAGGCTGTTGTAGGCAGATTTTGCGTCTTCAATGAGCTCTCTTCCCACTCACTGGCAGCAAAGACTTCCTTCTCCACCAGGCCATCATTCTCCTCGCTTTCGACAGACAGCCAGTCGTTCACCAGGAAGTGGTAGCTCTTGCAGGTCTGCAAGTCTCTGACAATGACGTGCTGCAGGTACCATGATGGATTTAGCCCTAAGCAGCATGGAAAGGAGAAGGAAACACAGCTTTAAGACATCTTTTTATCTAATTTGATTCCAAGATACATCCACTAACATTCTCCATGAATTTAAACTGATTGGGGGGGGGGGCAGGCGGGGGGGGGATCCTGAGTACAGGGGTGGTGCAAGACATTTTGTGGCCTGAGGTGAAATACAAGATGGCACCCCCCCTTGTTGTACATACAAAAGTCAAATGAAAAGGTAGCTAAATTTGACTTCAACACTGGCAATGGGATTCATACCTAGTTTAGGAAATGTGTAACAGGCTGTTTGGCCCACATACATCTGTCCTCCAACAGAGAAGGATGATAATTGGGAGATTCACAAAGAATAGCCACTTCTCCTTAAGGCTGCTCACTTCTCCTTCTTAAGCCATATGCTGCCTGAGGCAGTTGCCTCATTCTGACTAATGATCAAACCAGCCCTGCCTGAAAATGGTCTGTGTAGTTTTTTAAGTGACCGTTTTACATTCATTATGTTTCTCATTCAGCTTTAACAATTCAGGCTCTGCTAAACTGTAATTATGATATTCTCTGCAAAATGCTAGCAATGAGTTTTGTTCTTTGTCTTGGCAGATGGGAGAGGCGCAGCTTCAAAGGGGGGGGGGGGGCCTCCAGCAGGAAACTGCCGAGTTGCAATTCATCAAGAATTGCAGCTCTATTCATTTGGGTTGCAGAGGCTGGATGGATCCCCATTTGTTTTCTAGGCGCACACTTTGCACACTCAGCTGAGCTGGTATGGGGTGGGATTGAGTGTTATCTCTACCCACCGACGCCACCCAATAACCGCTAATAACCCTGGGAGAGCCAGTGTGGTGTAGTGGTTAGAGGGCCGAGCTCATCCATCCATCCTTGGGCCAGTCACTGTAGTCTCTCAGCCTAGCCTGCCTCACAGGGCTGTTGTGTGGATTACATGAGGAGGGGGAGAGCCAGGCAACAACAAACACAACCAAACAGGCTTTGGGTCTGCTCTCACATACGCACCTTTATTGTCGTGCCAGATGCGAATCTTCCACACGCTCCCAAGGCTCCGTTCTGTGGCGATCTGGAAGATATTGAGGCTGTTGCGGTGGAAGGCGTTTTCCCCATCCAGGTGCCGGTGCCCAGATTTGCTCTCCATCCCATACAGAGTGATTCCCACATGAGCCGTTGTCCCTGGAAGGAAGGAGGAAGGAGTGCAAATTCTTAAAGGAGGAAAGTAGCCTGGTTTATGTCTCATGTGGGGCAGGGGAGGGGAAGGTGAAATGGGACTCTTCAAGCATCCTTCATCCCCCAGCCTCCAGCCTGGGACAAATGGTCCCCCACCCTCTTTGAATCTCAGCTTTGCATCTGGAGAAAGGGCACCCCAGGGAGGAAAGGCGTCCAGATCATTTTAATTCGCAGTTCCTGATCCAATAACTGAAGTGAAGATTTGCGCTGCTCTGAATTTCGTGGTGCGGTTTTATGTCAGGAATTTTTTTTAAAAAAAATATGTCAGGGAAATTTAACTGTGACCCACCTTACATTGCAAATTACATAAAAAATTCATTGTTTGGGGGGAAAGGGCAAACAAAAGAAACCCCAATTCTCTAACACACATCCACACAGTTGTTTAACATACAGCCTGAGGAAGTGTCCCGGTGATCTCAAAAGGTCACCCGTGACTTTGTGGCACTTTGGTTGGTTTTAAATTATTCACTATTATTCATTAAATTTGCTAGCAACTTGTTACACATAAAGGCCTCAAAAAAAAAGCAACATTAGGAAGAACTTTATGGTGGCAAGATTCATTCAACGGTGGAGCAGGCTCCTTTGAAAGCTGGTGGACTCTCCTTCATTGGAGGTTTTTCAGCGAAGGTTGGGGTGGCTACCTGTCAGGGATTCTTGAGCTGCGATTCCTGCACTGCAGGGGGCTGGACTAGATGACCCTTGGGGATCCCTTCCAACCTTACACAATTCTATTATGACTTGCAACATGTTTAAAACATTAGCGTAAATAAGCATAAGTAATAATTTAAAGACATTCATACAAAACCACATGCAGGTAATAAAAAAACACGCCCCTAAAGGGAGATTGCTGTCCAGCAGGGTTCAGATTATTCTCCATCCCCTCTCTTCGCAGCAAGGGGAAGTGCACTAGGCTTCACAAAGGCCTCCCCCCATCCCCAACCAGCAAGTTTGGGAAGGGTTACTCTGCATTCTGGTCAGCACAGGAACATGCTTCTCTGGTGTGCTATTCCACCACACCCAGGGATCACATTACAGCATCCTTGAGAGCAGCAGCTGAGGGGCTGGACGGATCCGTCCTCCATTTCCTCTCCAAACAGGAGTGGCTCTAATACTCATTCACTTGCCAGGGTTTTACTGGGAGGGGATGTTTGTCCTGGATATTCTCTCCACAGAGCGGCTAAAAAGGCTTAATCCAGGCTCCTCTTTGCTCTGTCAACGGCTGCCAAGGGCGCAACAGTTCCACCTAGCCCACCCCAGTGGCCCTCTTGATCTGTGGTGTGCGGTTTAAGCAGGGTGGCCTTCACCAACCTGGTGCCTTTTCCAAAAACTTTTTTTTTGAAGAGGAGAAGAACTAAGCTCTAGTCAGAACAGAGCTACTGAAATTAAGCCCATGGATTCCAATGGGTCTCCGCTGAGTAGAATTCAGCTGGCTGCAGTCCTAAAAAGCTAAACCTAAACCTAAGCGTGCTTACTTCCTCCTCCCTCCCAAACCATTCCCCTTTTATGCCATGTCTGCTTGGATTGCAAACTTGCAGGCAGGGATGGTCTTTTCCCCCCTTATTGGTTTACAAGCCACTCCTGAAGCCTTTTTTGGTTTGAAGAGCAGGAGAAAAAGCCATTAGTTTGTAAAGGTCTATTTTAAAAACTCATACCCAATACAAAGTATCTTTGTATAATACAACAAAATAAAAGAAATGGTTTCAAAATCTAATCTAAAAGGGAACAGGAGAAAAGAGAAGGAGAAAGAAAAGAAGATGGGGAAAGATAAAAAGTCTTCTGGTTCTCTGTCTGTCATGAACATCCAACTATTTTGTTTTCTGTAAGTCAATATTGTTTTCAGTCTTCAAATCCAGCTATTACAAGTTCATTTCCCTTTTCATGCAAAAAGTCCATAATAAGTTTCCAATCCTTAATAAATGTCAATACTGATTCTTCTCTAATTAAACACATTAGCTTTGCTACCTCAACTAAGTCCATTAATTTTATGAACCATTCCTCCATAGTAGGTAGGGCTGTATCTTTAAATTAAGCGCTAACATGGCTGTGGGAGAAGACACAAACATTTCCTTGAGGGTGCCCAGAGCATCACAGCTACTCACCTGACCCCTTGCCCCAGCCCGTTTTCACCAGGACCTCATAC